CTTTCAGGCTGAAACGACACGGGGCCTGTAAGCCCTTGTTTCTAGGCTTTTAGGCTGAGACTGCGGGACAGGCCCTGGAGGCCCGTGTGGCTGCGCAGTATTCCACACCCCCCCCTCCTTGAAAGACCGAGCTTACCTGCGAGGGCGAAGCTGTCTGTCTGAGGGAGGGACCRCAGTCCGGGTGGGAGGGGCAGGTCGTGAAGGTCCCTGATCTAACCTTTGTCGCTCGTAGTGAGCGTAGATCAGCGGTGCGGATGCTTTCAAATCTGTTCATGAAATCCACCGAGTGTCATCGGGATCGCATGCTTTGAAGGTAACTTTGTACTGTCGAGGCTTGCTGCCGTACTTGCGATCCGTGATGATGCGGTCAACCTCCTGATGACCATCCATAGATGGAGGATCTTGCGATCTTTGGCCTGAGAAGTCGTCGCTCTTGGCTGGTGTATATGTTGCCAGCTTCGAGGCGTGAAAGACTGGATGGACCGTCAGATGCGGGGGAATGTTGATCACAAATGAGGGGCAATCGGGCTCATCGCCCGCGGCTGATGTTACGGGCCATGGTCCAAACCACTTGGGAAGCAGTTTGCGTGAAACATCCTGTTCGATTGCAAACTCTTCCGCGGAGACCCACACCAGATCACCGACGCGGATGGGACATGGCACGCGATGCCTGTTGGCTTGCTGCTGCATGCGGACTTGAGCCTTTTGCATGTTCGCACGGGCTTGAGCCAGCAATTCCCTGTACTTCCGAACGGAAGCGGGGGAGCAAGCAGCGTCTATGTCGGCTGTTGTTGGGAGGAGAAGATCAGCGAAGATACGGCCTTTCCGGCCACCGTGGTGCAGCTCGAGTGGAGTTACGCCGATCGCCGGATGCAGCGAAGTGTTGTAGGCGAACTCGATGTCGGGGAGGCGGTCAACCCAATCCTTCTGATCCGTTCGGATGAGCGTACGAAGCATTATTTGACCAGTTTGATGTGCCCGCTCCGTTTGCCCGTCCCTTTGTGGATGCCGAGCCGAACTCGGTTTCATCTTCGTGCCGGATTCCTGCATGAGAGAAGTCCAAATTGCCGACATGAAGTGAGTGTCGCGGTCGCTGACGATGTCTTCCGGCACGCCGTGGCTGCAAATCCAGCTGGTGTGTAGGAGGCGCGGAAGTTCGAGAGCCGTGGCGTAGTACTTGCAAGGAAGAAATTGCGCATACTTACTCAAACGGCCAACGACCGTGAGGATGCCGTCGTGCCCGAGCCGGTCGAGGGGAAATGGACCGGTGACGTCCATGGCAATGGAGAGGCCGGGTTCCTGTGGGATAGGCATCGGGTGCAACTCGTGCATCTGCTGCGCGATTGGAGAGGCCGGGGAGATGTTTCGGTGTGAAGTCAAATTGGTTGATGAAGTACATCCATCGTCCGATCGTGCTGCTCACCATATCCTCCGTCTTGTAGTAGGGCAATGGGTTGTTGTCCGTGACCCATGTGAACCTTCGACGCGTAAGGAGGAAGTGCCGCCATCGCTTGAGAGCCATCACGAACGCAAGCAGCTCCTTCTTCCTTGCATCATCAAGTGAATTGATGGGAGGCACTTTGTGGCTGAAATACTCTGCATGGTGTCAGTCGTTGCCGTCGTGTTGTTCCAAGACTGCCCCAATGCCATAGCCGGAAACGTCGGTTGTCACTCTCGTTGGCAGGGTGGGGTCGTAGATGCTAAGGACGGGTGCCATGAGCATGGTCGTCTTGAGTGCTTGGAATGACCGGCGTGCATCGTCATCCAATACGAATGGCACCTTTGGCGATTGTTATCTCGTCATAGGTGCGGCAATCCTTGAGTACCCGGTGATGAAGCGTTGATAGTAGCCTGCCAACCCCATGAATGAACGGACGTCTGTGGTATTGGTGGGCTCGGGCCATACGCGGATGGCCTCGATCTTGTCCGCAAGCGGACGGATGCCTTGCGGCGTCACATAATGTCCCAAGTACTCCAGCTCTTGCCGCGCGAATTCGCATTTGTCGCGGTTGGGTTTGTACTTGGCTTGTCATAGCCGCTCCAAAATGGTGCGCAGGTGCTCCACATGCTCGTCCAAACTCCGGCTGTACACCAAGATGTCGTCGAGGTAGATGAGTACGAATCTATCCAGCATGTGTCGGAACTCCGTTATCATAGCCGCTTGGAATGTGGCCAGGGCATTCATAAGGCCAAAAGGCATAACCAACCATTCGAAGTGCCCATATCGCGTCTTAAACGCGGTCTTGTAGCGGTCCTCCTGCCGGATCTCGAGTTGGTGATATCCCGATTTGAGGTCAAGCTTGGAGAAGAACTTGGCGCCGCCCAGTCGTTCGAGGAGGTCGTCGATGCGCGGAAGAAGGCCGGCGTTCTTGACGGTTTGCGCGTTGAGCTTGCGAGAATCGATGCACAACCGCAACTCCTTGTTCTTCTTCCAAACGAAGAGAACGGGAGCACCGTATGGCAAAGAGCTAGGCCGAATCCAGCCTTTCTCGAGAAGATCGTCGAGTTGTGCCCTTAGCATACTTAACTCTTCCTCGCTCATGTGGTAGATGCAACCACGCGAAGGTACGACCCCGTCCTCGAGGATGATCTCGTGGCAGATGGGCCGATCCGGTACTACTCTGTGTGGTGTTTCGAACACGTCGCCGTAGGCGTCGAGAAGTTCGGTGATGCGTGGGTCCGGTGGTGAGTCCGTCGATGGAATGTCTTGGGGCAGGAGGGCGTGGAGAAAACACACCCCCATCTCCTCGATGTCATCCCGGATGATGGAAGCTCGAATGCTTGCGGCGGACACCACGTGGCAGCTGATCGAAGGGTGAGGAGGAGGCACCGTGCATGGGACTAGTACTCCGTTCCGATCACGAACGTGAACGGTGCGACGGTAGAAGTTCACCTGGTGATCCTCGCTTTGCAGCCATGACATGCCCAAGATCATGTCGAACTTGGTGTCCAAAATATCGAAGGACACGGCCTCGCTTGCATGCGGGGCAAAGTACACGGGGACGACATCAATGCACCGGTCGATTGACTTGTGCGTGTGACTGTCGGCCAACGTGACTTGCGTGGGCTGCGACTTTCTCCGAACACGTGGCCCAAGGCCAGCGCGTACCATAAAGTCTTGGCTCATGTAGTTGCGAGTAGCTCCGCAATCGATCAAAGCGATGCAGGTCGCCTCTCCGATCTCAATGCGTATGTACAACAATGGCGCGTCGATGTCGTCGTACCGTTGTGTCTTGAACTCGCGGTCGATCTTCGCAATGTAGGCGTGAAGATCGACAACCTCTACTTCGACATTCATCAACAGAGTTGGTACTGCAGTGTGCAAGTAATCCCGCAATTGTGCCATGAGCACGTTGCAATGCGGTTTCGGCAATCGACCGGACCGGGGAAGGGGCATCCATTGGAAGTCCGCAAACGTCAACGGGTCGAGCTCTTCAAGTCTAGATGGTGGCGAACTTGCTGACTCGGTTGCCGATGGTAGTAAAACCGTGCATGCGGTGGATTGTTGCATATGGAGTGGTTGGTCCAACAGTGGGACCAAGTGGACAGCATAATCCTCGTAAGTGAACCGAGGACTTGCGACATTCGCATCCTCCCCAGATGTGTAGGACGCCGCTAGCAAGGCGGCCGAATCTGGCGGAGTGAGAGGCGGAGTCGCCTCACCTCCCGGGCAACTCAGTTTCCCGAGTTGATGCGAGGCCGAACATCCTCCTTGCCTTGATCCGGGCATTGGGAGGTCTTGTGCTTGGTGTTGTTGCACCAATAGCAGCAGCCATACCGGCCGCGCCACTTGTATTCGGCCTCGGTCAAGTGAAAATTGACCCAAGGTGCTGGCTGTCCGTTTCCGGTCGGCGATGCGGTTTTCGCCTTCCCTTTTCCTCGGGAGTTGTTGTTGCTTCGCGGCTGGACAGCAGCCACCTGATCTCCCTCACGTGATGCTTGGGTGGTTGTCTGGTCTTCCACAATGTTGTCCGTGTGGACTGCAGCGACATGCTGCGGACGCGGACCAAATTTTCCTTTCTCCACACAGGTTGGCTGCCATGCCGACTTCTCGTGTGCAGCCGCCCTATTGGTCTTGATGATCTCCCTTGCCTTGTCGATGATTTCGGTGAAGGTCGCGTATTGCTCGTGATCACCAAGTGCAAGGCTCAAGGCGACACATGACCGGTTGTAGAACTCCCGGCGCAGATCCAAAAATGGCAATTCGAGATCGGGCGTCACCACGATCTTTTGCCATTCCGTGAGCCAGTCGCGTGTCGATGTGTTACCTTGCGTCATAGCAAAGAGGCGGTTGATGGTGAGCGTCGGGGCGTCGTCCACGATGAACCGCTTCTTCCATAGCTTCGTCAGATCTACCCAAGGAATCTTTGTGTGCAGCGACGACGTCGACGCCGTGGATAGTTGCCAGGTGGCTGAGCCAGATCTAGCATCCACCCTTTGAGTTGAGGAACAACGCGCTGATGTACGAGTGCTCGGGGACGAAAAGAATCCGAAGTTCCGTTGTAAAGCCCTCCCACCAGGGGACCGGGTCTTGATGCGTATAATCATCAAACTTTTCGATGTGGAATATCGGCATCTTGTAGTGCTGCGTGGTGTTGCCATCCTTGTTGGGCAGCTGGTGCAGTTGTTGAACCTCGCTCTTCAAGGTGTCCAGCTGCTTGCTGATGGTGGCTGGTGCAGCGAAGGTGCTGATGTCGCCGAGCATTGCGACGACGTGGTCAACTCGTTCCTCCAATTGGCGGGTAGAGGGTGCACTGCTGGACTCGCCAGCATCTGGTCTTGATGCAGATTGCTCCAAGTCCTGTACACGGGAATCAAGTGTCTGTGTAGCATCCTCGTGCAGGTCCTTGTGGTTCCGCACCGCCTGTCGGAGATTCGCTAGCTCAGACTGCAGGTGGTTACAAGTGTAAACCAACCGGGTCACGAGTTTGGCCAGAAACTCCTTGTGCTGCTCTTCCGGTGTCGCGTCTTCATGCTGCTCAGATGGTTCAAAATGCCAAAACTTGAGCTTTTCGATGTTGGTGGCTTCATGCCGATGTAACAGATCCTGGGCCTCCTTGCGGCGTGCCTGGGTATCTGCTTCGGCTTCGGCTTGAAGCCGCTGCTTTTCAACTGTTGCCGCCGCTTCGGCTTGTAGGCGGGCAGCTTCGGCTACCTCCTGACGCTGTTCCTCAGCCACGATCAGTGTGAGCTGAGCTTCGAAACGCTGTCGGTACTCGGCAATGGACTCATTGGCCAGTTGGCCTGGCATGCCCAGAACTGAGCCCGTCATGGTGGCGGGGCACTGCTGACGTGGCACTGTGGCACTGCTGACTTGGCACTGTTGCTGACGTGGCACTGTTGCTGACGTGGCACTGTTGCTGAGGTGGCACTGCTGACGTGGCACTGTACCAACCCGGGAATGCACGCAAAGGGGTGGGTGGGAGGGAAAACGCAGGTAGGTAACCAACCCAGCTATACTTTCCTCCCGGTCCTAGTCAACAGACTAAAATAAATAAAAAATAAAAAAAGAGGATCACCCCCCTCTTTTTTTTTTTTTTTGTATATCTGTCGATCTGCTATGAGTGAGGTATGTCAGAAGAGTACTATGAGTGAGATCTAGGCCAGATTCCGCAAAGTTTCGGCTTGAAAAAAAAATTTGCGAAATAGAGTAGAGATGCGGTTTTCAGAAAAGAACTAAATCCAGTTTTTGAGAATATGGCAAATGGTCCAAAATTTTTATTTTTAAAACAAAAAAAAAAAGGGAGGGGAATAAGGGAAGGGGGAAGGAGGTAAAAAGAATATGGCAACCTCCTAATATGCCTAAAATGAAATGTTGGTAGGCTTCACAAGATTTCTGTTTTCAAAAGAAATTTGCGAGATAGAATGGAGATTCGATTTTCAGGAAAGAATAAATCCGTTTTCCGAGAATAGGACCACCTCTATCGTTATCCTAGTATGCCTAGAAAACGAAATGCTAACATCAAAAAATTTTGGCTATGTATGCGAATATTAGAGAAACGAAATGCTACTTTTAGGAATTTTCAGATGACGGCAGTCGGTAAACCAGCATCAAACGACGAGTGGATTCTAAAGCCTGCTCTAAAAAAACTAACCAACTGGAAAGACCGGCACACCTCCCTCATCGACAGAGCACTCGCGATCAACAGTGTAGTGCTCGCGGCCTTATGGTACAAATCTGCAATCTGGACCCTCAGCAAAGAGGTTGTTCGATCGTTTAAAAGACAATTAGTGGCCCTCCTATGGAGAGGTGATGGCGAGCTCCGGAACGTCATCAGCAGAGTAGCTTGGGCGTCAATGATTCAACCCAGGACTAAAGGGGGCCTGGGGATCCTGGACCCGGACACCCAGATTGCAGCACTAACTGTCCAATGGGTCAAGAGACTGTTGTTCACTGAGCACCTCCCATGGCGTGCCCTGGCGCTGGAACAAATAGCCAGACTCGCCCCACAGGCACCACAAGGACTCAGCCCATTGACCTGGCTAGAAGACCGCTTCTGGACTGTGCCAAGGCGTCCCCGCGTACAACGAGATTCACCCCGAGACGCAGCCCGTTTGGACCTGATCAGAGATGACTTCTGGACCCGAGTCATGAAGGTCTGGCGCCAACTTGGGAGGAAGTGATGCGCCAGCCTCTGTTCGGGAACAGGAGAATAACGGACCGGCATAGCAGAGTGCACCGCAGCTCAGACACCCCGTGGAACAATTGGGTAAAAAAAGGCATAATCCGAATAAAAGACATATGGGACATGGAAGTGGGCGACTGGAAATCAGGATCACAACTGAGAACTATACTAAAACACTGTCACAAGATTGTGGAGAACGTTGATCTGTTGACCGCTGCAGTCCCACTTGACTGGGTGCACATTCTGCGCCGAGGACCGCTGCTGAAGGAAGGAGACTGGGTAGCTGTCCCAGGGGACCCGAAAAGCATCGGCAATGTGGTGGAGGTAAGGACTGACGAAACACTGATAAACCTTTTCCACATTGGCAAGGAGAACACACTCACCCGGTACCGCCCAGAGGTGGATAAATGGTGGAGAACAACAGACTTGCATAGGATACGGGTGCTGCGGGATAAAGATGTCTGGATCGCATACCAGCCAAACATTCCCCTGATGGAGCTACCCTTGGACCCTGACGAGTGGCAGTGGGACCCACAGCGAAAACTTAAGACGGGTGAACCTAAGACTACACACCCTATCAGTGAAGGCCACATATCGTCTACTTCGCCCGAAAGTGAATATAAGAGACACAGTGAAGGCCCGATGGAGGTCACACTTGCAGGTAGGAAATGAGGCAATCCGCCCGATTCGATGGTTCTCTGCCACAAGATCCAGACCTGCGAAGATGGCTTTTCTTCAATGGCAGATAGAACACCGCTGCCTACCCACCAATGACTGGTTGATAGACTGCACATACCTGGAGCAAAGGGGGCAGGCATTACCATCGTGTAAGTCGTGCCACTCTGCCTTTCCCCCCCGCAGAATCCCGGAAACTATAGAGCACATATTCATGCAGTGCCCAGGGGCAGTGCTCGCGTGGCGATGGTGGGATAGGATCTGGACTCGGCTGGGCACCGACTCTCACTGGCCATGGGATTGGCAGGCCATATTATGCGAAGCATGGTCCTCCCCCACCGACAACACCTTCGAAAATAACATGTTCAAATTAGAAAGAAGAGCAGTCATGTGGGCCCTCTGGAGAAAACGCTGCATACACGCTATAGAGAGAGTCCGCATAAGGGGGGAAGAGTTAACGGACATGGTAAGGCAATATATTCAACAAGAAATCATGCTACATTGGCAAAAAGTGAAAAACCAACTTGATGTATATCACACAGCAAAGGACATCACACAAGCAATCCATCATTTTTCTGAGGATTGGTTGGGCGGGGAGAATGGGGGCTGGATTGCATCAGTCCAATGGGAGGGTAACCCCCCCCGGGAGAATAACCAGGAGGAATTCAAAAGGGATTATCGCATCTGCTTCCGAGACTGGACTATGGTGGGCCAGGAGATCCCGCTGCGGCCTGCCACAGAATTCCCCGACCCTTTCCCGCCCCACAAGCTGGCGATGGTGGAGATGCAATGGTATGGAGCAGATTGAATGGGCAGCTTCAGTCGGCCAGATTGGTTCTCAGCATTGGAAGTTCATCGCCGTCTGGGCCATCAGTGTGGGGCACTGTGGGCAGCTTCCTTGCTCATTTTTGGCGTCCGCTGTGGGTACGGGACGCTGGACCAATGGAATGGAGCAGATGGAATGGTAGCTTCAGTCAGCCAGATTGGTTCTCAGAATAGGAAGTCCATCGTCGTCTGGGCCATTAATGCGGGCGGCTCCCTTTCTCATCTTTGGCTTCCGCTTTGGGTACGGGACGCTGGACCCACTTCCCAGCTGGTGGGAAAATTTTCAAATCATAAGGGATGCTGGGCTGGAATGCTGGGCCCGGTTCTTAGCATGGGTGGCAGGGGGGGGGAGGAACTAGTGTGAAGCGGAGTATCTGGCGCCGAACGCAGGGTGAAGAGGTTCCCCCTTCCTATTAAAATCCTGCTCGGTTAATCCCCTGGTCCCCAGGGCAATCAATGCTGGCAGGAGTACACCACATTTTGGACCCGCTTTCCAGCAGGTGATGCTCCCCACCAATAGATGGAGCCTCTCCCCAGGTGCTAGTGGTGTCTGCTCTGACCAGCACCACTAGCACTGGTGGGGGTGTTTTCTCAAAAAAAAAAAAAGATAAAACAAAATGCGATTATCAGAAATTTTCAGATATTTGTTGCGTGAAAACGAAATACTGATATCAGAAATTTTCAGGTAAAACGAAATGCGATTATCAGAAATTTTCAGATATTTGTTGCGAAAAAAAAATTCAGAGATTTGACGAAGTCCTACTTGATTAACTAATGAGTAATCAATAGATCAAGCAAGCGGGCTACTTGATTGAGCGGGTCCTCTGATTGAGGGGTCCGCTCCGATACCAAACTGTTGCATACTGTAACGGTGCAGACCAGAACAAGAACCAACCTCTCTCACAAAGTACAAGATCGCGTAGCGGAAGACTTAGATACCAATGATTCGAACAATCAATATTGCAATGCAGCCCCAAACAAACATCATCATCATCACTCCATGGTGTGAAGGGGCCTGGCGCTCACACAGGAAGAATGCGCCAGTCCCCAACCATACGCATACGGAGAAGAGGGGGGTTAGACAAAGAAGAGGGGAAGATGGGAATGTCGTCAACACCAAGTCTTTGGCACAGGCCCAAATAGTCCCTCGTCAAAATGTCTGAATCCCAATGTCGAGTCTGGATCCAATGTCGTCAAGTCTCAAGTCACAACTCTCTCTCTCTCTGTCGTAGTCCGCTGATACTGAGAAGTCAGGTTGTGAGAGGGTGAAGAAGAGATGGTGGACTTAGAAGAGGAAGAAGAACTCTCTCTCACTCTCTCTCTCTCTCTCTGTCCGGTACTAACCTGTGAAGTTGGCGCCTTGATGCAGGTACCTTGAAGATGAAGCTGGAGCTATGGCGCCACAGGTAAGTCTCCCTGGCCTCC